CTGTAAGGACAAAAAAACATGGCAGTACATCCTCAAGGAGTTCATGCTCTGCTAGCGGCTAATAAATAAAGACACTGGTGCATGGTCCGCAGACACCCTGACAGGCTGTAGTGTAGGGTGAGAAGACACAGCGATGGGGCTATTTTAAGCAGACACCACTGGGTCTGAAGGTTAAAAAACTTGAAGGTTGATAAGTAGGGGTTCAGAAGACAGAATGACAAGGCCATCCAAGTTCTGCAGATAGTATATTGGGGCTCAGAAGGATCAAAGTCACCATGCTGGTGGCTAATTGGGGAACAGCAGATAGATACTGGTGCAGCTGTGCTGTGCTGAGCTGCGGGTTCACTGGGGTCAGACACTGCAGTGGTGGCTAATAAAAATCAACATGATGAGAGGATCTGATGTAGGATGAGCAGACACTGTGACTGGAACACACTGGGTCGAATATATCGTATGGGGGCACCTGGGTGGCTCAACTGGTTAAGCGTCCGACTTCAGCTCAGGTCATGATCTCATGGTTTGTGGGTTTGAGCCCTGCGTCGGGCACTGTGCTGACAGTTCAGAGCCTGGAGTCTGCTTCGGATTCTGTGTCTCCCTCTCTATCTTCCCCTCTCCCACTTGTGCTGTGTTTCTCTCTCTGTCAAAAATAAATAAATGTTAAAAAATTAAAAAACAAAACAAAAAAACGAATATATCGTATGGTAGCCAGTGGGAGGGCAACAGACGCTGTCGATATGGGTCAACAGACACTACATTAGGTCTAAAGGAAGTGAGAAGACATTGCTGTGAGCTAATGGGAGGTCAGCAGTCATCATGCTGAGTCTAAAGCAAGGCAAAAAACATGATATTAAGTTAATGGAGAATCATCGGTCACAAAGCTGGGGGTGAAGGGGTGAAAAGACTCTACCGTGAGCAAACAGGTCAGCAAAAATTGTAATGGCAACTAAAAGGGGTGGTGGGACAGATGGCTACGAGCTAATGGGGGTCAGTAGACTTTGTGGGAGCACAAAGTTGTGATAAGACAAGGTATTGTGAACTGATGTTAGGCCACTGTACAGACATTGTGCTCTAGGCTAACGGGGGTGAAAAGAAGTGCTGTTAAGTTAATGTGGCCTTAGTAGGCACCGTACTGACATATCCTGGGGGTAAAAACTACTGTGGTGGCGGCCAATGGACAGGTCAGGAGAGACTGTGCTTAAGCTGTTGGGAGTGAAATCCACACAGCAGTGCTGGCAGTGAGGGATCACCGCGTAAGTGATGGTCCCTAAAGGGGGGCCCATCATGGGGCTTCAGTGAAGGTCATTTTCATGGACCAAAGCCATTTCTAAAGCCCGTGGGTGGGGGTGGGGGTACTAAGTCTCCCATTGCCAGTGTCTTTCATCTGATCTAGTGGTCAAGATTCCTGGTTTTCTCCCAGGCAGCCCACATCCGGCTCCTGGTATGGGAACAGGGAACTTTCTATTGTTGTTTGTAAAGTTGAGATATAATTTACATACAACAAAGTGCACAAATCTTAAGTTTACTCATTTGATAACTATCAATACACATTCCAATCAAGATACAGAATAGTTCCATCACCCCCAGGAAGTTCCCTCCTACGCTTTAGGAGTTAATTCCCCTCCCAGGGGCATCCACTGATCTGCTTTCTGTTATCATAGATGACTTTTATTTATGTTTGACATTTTCCATAATAATAATAATTTTAAAACATAAAACTGAGGGGCGCCTGGGTGGCTGAGTTGGTTAAGAGTCCATCTTTGGCTCAGGTCATGATCTCACGGTTCATGAGTTCGAGCCCCAAGTCAGGCTCTATGCAGACAGCTCAGAGCCTGGAGCCTGCTTCGGATTCTGTGTCTCCCTCTCTCTTTGCCCCTCCCCTGCCCATGCTCTGTCTGTGTCTCTCTCTCTCTCTCAAAAGTAAATAAACATTAAAAAAAATTTTAAACATAAGATTGAATTTTGTAAATGGATGATCTGAAGATTAAATGAATCAATGAGATGGCATCTTGATAAATTTAATTAATAGTAAATGAGAGTAAGAGCATGCTGTTTAAAAAATGCATAAAGTATAACATCTACATTCAAGTGTATGCTATATTTGGGGGCATCTGATGGTTAATTCAAATACCCTAGGTCATCATATTTATTATAGAATATCCAGGGAACAAAAAACAGGTATTTAATGTAGCATCAATTTACTATAGCATAGTATTACCAAATGCTTAAGGTAAAGGATTCACTTTTGCTTATCAAAAATGTTGAATTAGAAAACATTCTTGGGGCACCTGGATGGCTCAATCGGTAGAGTATGTGACTTTTGATCTTGGGGTCATGAGCTTACTTAAAGAATAAATAAAAAGATAAGCTTTTAAAAAAGAAAACATTCTCAAAGTTCAGAGGTTTGTCACTAACAAACTTCCACTCAAGGTATTTTTCAGGCAAAGAAGAAAATGATTCTGAATGGAACGCAGAAAGGAATGGAGAGCAACCAACGTGGCAAATATGTGAGTAAAATGAAGTGAACATATAAAATAAAAATGTTTTTGGGGGGATATATAAGTATGTATCTTTCTGTATGTATGTATGTGTGATACAGGTAAATATTTATATTCAATAAACCCCATAATACAGCATTATATTTTGAAATATATATGTATATACATGTATAAGCAAAATTTCTATTAAAAGTTAGCTTCATGTGGAAACTAATTTGACAATAAACTATTTGTAAAAAAAAAAAAAGTTAGCTTCAATTAAAGACAATTTATGGGAGAAAACCATAAAATACAATTGAAGTCCAAAAAAGTTGAGTTAAAAAATAAAAAGATAAACCATATTCATTGATGGAAAGACTTAAAGCCAGCTTACATCTTCTGGACTAGCAACAATTTTAAAGACTGATAATAAGGGGCGCCTGGGTGGCTCAGTCAGTTAAGCATCCGACTTAGGCTCAGGTCATGATCTCGCAGTTCGTGGGCTCGAGCCCTGCATCGGGTTCTGTGCTGGCAGCTCAGAGCCTGGAGACTGTTTCGGATTCTGTGTCTCCCTCTCTCTCTGCCCCTCCCCCGCTCATGCTCTGTCTCTTCTCTGTCTCAAAAAAAATAAACTATAGAAAAAATTTAAAAAAAAAAGACTGATAATAAGCCCTGGTGTACATGTGGGAAAATGTAAACTTTGTCTCACACTGCTCATGAGAGTATAAATTAGTACAATTTGAAGGGGAAAAATTCAATTATTTAATAAGTTGTAAAACTTCTGTAGCAATCAGAACCCAGCTAGGAGGGGTGCCTGGGGTGGCTCAATTGGTGGACCATCTGACTCTTGATTTCGGCTGAGATCATGGTCCTGAGGTTCGTGGGTTCAAGCCCCACTTTGGGCTCTGTGCTGACGGCAAAAGCCTGCTTGGAATTCTCTGTCTCCCGTTCTCTCTGCCCCTCCCCTGCTCAAGAGCATGCTATTTCTCAAAAAAATAAATAAACATTAAAAAGAAAACAAAAAGAGGGGCGCCTGGGTGGCTCAGTCAGTTGAGCGTCCAGCTTCGGCTCAGGTCATGATCTCACGGTTCGTGGGTTCGAGCCCTGCGTTGGGCTCTGCGCGGACAGCTCAGAGCCTGGGGCCTGCTTCCGATTCTGTGTCTCCCTCTCTCTCTGCCCCTCCCCTGCTCGTGCTCTGTTTCTCTCTGTCTCAAAAATAAATAAACTATAAAAACAAAAAAATTTTTTTAAAAAGAAAAAAAAAGAACCCAGCTAGGAGACAGAAATGATACCAGTTATTTTAATGAAAAGAACTTCTTATAAAGAATTTTTGACTAGTCACAAGGTTATTAACCATGTAACTGACAAGGACAGAAAGAGAACATTAAAATTATCACGGAGGCAGCAACTGCAGGAAGCAGCTGGGCTGAGGTAACAAGGGAAGAAACTGGAATTGTTAAAAATTGGAAACCTGGCGGCGTGGGGTCATGTGGGTAGGACTCGTACCTCCAAGGGGGTGGCACGAGCCAGCTGCGGCTAGTGTTTCTGAGGCCGTGGGGCCCAAGAGGCTGCTCTGTCAGTGCTGGAAAACCGCAAACTGCCACCACGGGGACCTTCTGCCGCCCACGTGAAGAAGCGATACTGGGCGGGCAAGGCACAAACATGTTTCGGAGAGCCCCAGCATCGCAAAGAACAGCGTAGAAGGGGGGTGTTGGAGCTAAGGGGCACAACAGCTTAGTAACTTCAACACTGCCTACATTCTATGACCCATCAGTTCCACGTTTAGATTCGGACGCTAAACAAACACATGTCTGGCACCAGTGGAACAGGGAGAGAAGTGAATAAACCAGACCTGTATTTATTTCTCACCATGGACAGTCCTTGGACAGGTAACATTTCATGACAAAAGCAAGCTGCGGAACATTCAGCACAGTGTGATACCGTTTATGGAAATTGTTCAGAGGAATACAGTATTTCCTGTTGTACAATTCACACAATACACACACACACACACACACACACACAAAACCTCAGGGTAGATTAACGGTCTCCATGTTGAAAGGAAAACTGTAACTTTGGAGGAAAGTGTAGGAGAATATGATCACGTTGAAACTGATACTATTTGAACATAAAACCTCAGCAGAAGAGTTAACAAAATTAAATAACCAGCCACAGTCCAGGAAGAGATAGCTGCCAAACACGTGACTGAAAAAAGATTTGTATACTCTCACATATTAAAAAACGAAAACAACATTTAAACCAAGACGTAATAGATAAGCAGCGCGTTAGAAAACAATGAGGAAAGGAGACACGACAGTCAATGCACAGGAGAAAAGAACCCAAATGGCCAGTCAACAGGTAGGAAGATATTCAACCTCGCCATTAATTAGGGAAATAAAAACAACAACGTGTTTATTCCAACGTGGAATAAAAACAACATTTCATCGTTTTCAAGAACATTTCAAGATAGAGCTATCCCCTAACGGGACTCAGGATGTATTTTCACACCAGCGTGGGAGTCTAATTGTTACGGGTGCACTCGGTGTGCCTGGTGAACAGATGACCCAAAGGGCTTGATCAAACGGTGACGGGAGTCTTCACAAAGAAGATTTCTCCAGAGTGCAAGGTAAGGGCCGGCCTACGTGAGTTCTCTGATGTTCCGTGAGGTGGGCTTTCCGGCAGAAGGCCTTCCCGCATTCTTGACATTCAAAGGGTCTCTCTCCCGTGTGAATCCGCTGATGTTCAATGAGGCGTACTTTCACATAGAAGGCATTTCCGCACTCACTACATTCGTAGGGTTTCTCTCCTGTGTGAGTTCTCTGGTGTTGACAAAGGGATTTCTTCATACTGAAGATCTTTCCACATTCACCACATTCATAGGGTTTCTCTCCTGAATGCATTCTCTGATGTTCAACGAGGCGCGCTTTAACATAGAAGGCGTTGCCACATTTATTACATTCATAAGGTTTCTCTCCCGTGTGAATCCGCTGATGTATCCCAAGAGACGAGTGTACTCTGAAAGATTTCCCACATTCATTACACTGATAGGGTTTTTCACCTGTGTGAGTTCTCTGATGATTATTGAGAGTCATTTTCATTCTGAAGAATCTCCCGCATTCGCCACATTTATAGGGCTTCTCACCTGTGTGAATTCTTTGATGTTGATTTAGGGATTTCTTTGCCCGGAAGTTCTTCCCACAGTCACCACATTCATATGGCTTCTCCCCTGTGTGAGTTCTCTGGTGTTGGGTAAGGGATATCTTGACTCGAAATGTTTTTCCACACTCACCGCACTCATAGGGCTTCTCCCCTGTGTGAGTTCTCTGATGAATCATGAGGGTTGCCTTCTCAGAAAAGGTTTTCCCACATTCAGTGCACTCATAGGGTCTCTCTCCTGTGTGTGTTCTCTGGTGTAGAATGAGTTGGGACTTCCTGCCGAAAGATTTCCTACATTCGTTACATTCGAAGGGCTTCTCCCCCGTGTGAGTTTTCTGATGGGCAATGAGGTATGATCTTGCACTAAAGGTTTTTGCACACTCACCACATTTATAGGGCCTCTCCCCTGTGTGTGTTCTCAGATGTTCAATAAGGTTTGACTTCCTGCAGTAAGTTTTCCCACATTCGTGACATCCAAAGTTTTTTACTCCCGTGCGTGTTCTTTTATGTCCAATAAAGCCAGTTTTCTTGTAGAAGACTTTTCCATATCCATGATATTCAACGGTTTGATCTAAAGATTGAATCCTCTGACGCTGTAGGTCATTATCATGCCTGAGGGCATTACCCTCAACAGAACTGTTGCCACACAGCAGTGAGAGACCTCCTTTAAAAACAAATCAGATCACTCACTTAAAACTCAGCAATGGCCTCCCTTGTGACAGCCGCAAATTAAAGTGCTTAACAAAACCTATAAAACATAGCCTGTTAAAAAAGTGCTTAATGTAGCCTAAAAAACTCTCTGTAATTTGGCCCCCAGCTCTCTGATATTGCATCTGACCACTCTCACCACCCAGCATTAAGCTACACTGGCCTCGGGGCGCCTGGGTGGCTCAGTCGGTTAGGTGTCCGATTTTGGCTCAGGCCATGATCTCATGGTTCCTGGGTTCGAGTCCCGCATCAGGCTCTGTGCTGACTGCTAGCTCAGAGGCTGGAGCCTGATGCAGATTCTGCTTCTCCCTCTCTCTCTGACCCTTCCCTGTTCATGCTGTCTCTCTCTCTCAGAAATAAAAAAAAAAAACATAAAAAAAAAGCTACACTGGCCTCTTTGCTATTTTTAGGATATATCGCCCAGACCAGGCCTGACACATACTGTTCTCTCTGCCCACAATATTCAAAATCTACACGGTTCTGTGTCTCTCACATCTGATGGTGTTGGTGCACTAACGTTAACCTCCCCGAAAAGTCTTCCCCGGGCATATTCTCTACAAGCGCACAAGCATCGTTGTCCATCTTTCGCATCTTGCATTGATTTTCTTTTCACCGTCAAACATTATACATTTGTTTCCAGTCTCTTTCCGTCATCAGACTGCAAGCTCTAGAAAAGTGATTTAGTTTACTAAGTGCTAGATCCCTACACCTAGAACATGACCAGATTAGGGTTGATACTCATTTAAGAGGTGGTAGAACACCAAATGAGTGTATGAAGGTACACCTCACAACGGAAGGCATCAAAGGCAATGGAGGGAAGGCAGGCAATTGAGAATACTAAAGAAAGACAGACTGGCTGAGAATGTGCCTCTTACGATGAGGCAGGTGGGGGTAGGTAAGAGTGGTAGATAACCACAAAAATCAAGAGGGGCATCTGGGTGGCTCCGTCGGTTGAGCATCCTACTTCAGCTCAGGTCATGATCTCACGGTTCATGAGCTTGAGCCCCACATCGGGCTCTGTGCTGACAGCTCCTCTGTCCCCCTCTCTCTCTGCCCCTCCCCTGCTTGTGCTCTCTTTCTCTCTCAAAAATATATAAACTTAAAAAAAAAACCTCAAGGGTGCAGGCCTTCTGTCCTCCAGTCATTTTCAGAGGAAGGGCCTCTAAAAAGAGGTTACTGGAAAACACTGCTCACTCACCTGGGTAACCGTGGCCTGAGGATTCCTCCTCTAATATCCACAGCTCTTCTCCTCGCTCCAACTTGAAGATCATCTCTGGTTTGGCCACGCAGAGGCCTGTTAATGGGAAATGGCAGAGGACGTGGGCCAAGTTGTCTGAGCGTTAGGGCCTCTGATGGAGGAGGAAGGTGCATCTTCATGAGCTGCACAAGGAAGGGGCCCATGTAAACCTTTCATTGGGGCAAGTGGCAACACACATGCTCATCCTGGTGCCTCAAACTAGTCAAGCGTCTGTGACCCTTGAATCTAGAACCTAAAGTATTGTTAGAGTCTATAAAGGCAGCACAGGTTACAGTAACCAAGAAAGGAAACAGGGTACCAGGGGTTACATGGACACCAGTCCTCACCCACAGACGCCAGGTTGCTGTAGTTCTCTAACATCACATCCCTGTGCATGGTCCTCTGAGCAGGGTCCAGTCGGTGCCACTCCTGTCGGGTAAAATCCACAGCCACGTCCTCAAATGACACAGATCCCTGTAACAACAATCTGCAATGATCAGACTGGGACACACGGAGGGGCGCCTAAGTGGCTCAGTCGGTCAAGCATGCGACTCTTGATTTCAGCTCAGGTCACGATCTCATGGTTCGTGGGATCGAGCCCTGCATCGGGCTCTGCGCCGACAGCATGGAGCCTGCTTGGGATTCTCTCTCCCTCTCTCTCTCTGCCCCTCCTCGACCTGGTCACACACTCGCTCTCGAAATAAATAAACATTTAAAAAAAATTAAATACTATCTTTAAAAAAAAGAATGAAACACACCAAAGGATGTGTGGGAACTAATTCTTTCCATAGAGCACCAGTAAGATTTAACCCTAAGAAGCTACATTGGACAACTGAGCCTGTGTCTCACTTGATATTATACTTTGTTGGGGTGGGGGGGCCAGAACAGCCCTGCTATTGTGTTAATAGATCAATCCATGAAGAAAAGACTACTGACCCCTGAGTTAATACTAGGTGCCTGGACTTGTCCCAGTCGTTGGGAAAACAAAAAGGAGTAAAAGACGGAGTGCGTGTTCTCAAAGAGCTCAAAACCCAGTGAAGAGACTTATGTATGAACACATTCTTGCAACAAGGTGTTACAGGATCCGCGCTAGACACGTGTACAGGGTGCAATGGGCTTTCACAAGGGATGAATCGTGATTCCACTTCGTGTTATCAGATTCAAGTTCACCTGGGGAGATAGAGCTCTAAATCCTTAAACAAGAATACAGTTTCCCTCTGGGGCGCCTGGGTGGCTCAGTCGTTTGAGTGTCCAACTTCGGCTTGGGTCATGATCTCACGGTTCCTGAGTTTGAGCCCCACGTCGGGCTCTGTGCTGACAGCTCAGAGCCTGGAGCCTGCTTCTGATTCTGTGTCTCCTTCTCTCTCTGCCCCTCCCCTGCTCCTGCACTGTCTCTGTCTTTCAAATATAAACACACTTTCAAAAAAAATTTTTAAATATGCTTTCCCTCAAAAATATGGGACGACAGCATAAAAAAAGGCAAGAAATCATGAAACACACGTGGTGAGCTATGAAACTACATATAGAACAGTCGGAGAGAAAAAACAGCTCTTCAGGCTCTGATAAGATAAAGGGCTGCAAAGACATTCAGGGACCAGAAAGCGGAGGGATTTTCAACTGTTTTTTCCCCCTACAGATGATCAGTCTCTAAAATACTTGACTCCTTAGACCACCAGAATATTTTCTGACCTTCCCACAATATATTTATATTTCTAAGTTATACAGAAGTACTGTCGAGTGGGAGAAAGGCACAGATCATCACTCACAGGATGATGGCGTGAGCAGATGGGTTGAGGCTGGTGCCGTATATTAAGATTAGCAAAACTAGAGACACACTGGGTTGGCAGAAGGAAAAATTGAAATAGATCTTGGACTTAAGCTGGGGTGTTTATGGCACATACTGATAGACCTCCAGCTGGCAGGTGGATATATAATTCCAAAGCTCAGAAGAGAAGGCTAGGAGAGGCCAAAGGATGGGGAGGCAACTGCACTTCAGCACTAGCTGAAGCCACCAGAATAAACTGTAAGGCTAAGAAAACACAAAGAGCTTGAGAGAAGCACCAAGTACAGAGTCAGCAGGGACACCAAAAGTACATGAAGCTTGAAGGAGTGGGGGGGGGGGGGTGCCTGCGGGACAGAGAAAATGGGAGAAATCCTGTTTTTTAAATGCAGTCCTGCCCCCAAAGCAAGCCCCAGGGCCAGGTGGAGCAGCTGACACCTCGAATTTTAAGGAAGAGAAATCCTTTTCTTCGGCAAGGACAATAGTGGTCTGAAGAGTATGGGAAGGATCCCCATGGCCTTTTTTCTAACCTCCCACCACTGGGCCCCAAGGGCAAACTTCCTTACAGAAAGAGAGTGCCAAAAAGGAGAGACTAAATCCCTAACTGTGCAGCCAAAAGATGGCGGAGGGGATTGGGGCGGAGCACGATTGTGGGGGGAGACTGCCCTAATAAAATAGCCTCAGAACACATAAAGCAAATCTGAAAGAACTGCAAGAAGAAATGGGCAAATGCACACTTAGCACTGCTGACGTTCAATACTCCTCTTAGTAATCAAAGTCCCTAGTAGACAGAAAATCAACAAGGATATAGGAAAACTGGATGCCACCAAGCAACCACTTGACTTTGCAGAACATTCCACTCAAAATTATAGAAATGAAGTTTCTTCCAGTACGCCTGGAATGGTCACCAAGCTAGAACATACCCAGGATCATAAAACAAATCTCAACACGATCAACGGCCCCTTGGGTACCAAGGAAAATTGACCCGGAGAACCCACTCTGAGATATAACCTAATAAAATGATTAAAGGGGCACCTGGGTGGCTCAGTCGGTTAAGCGGCAGACTTCGGCTCAGGTCATGATCTCACAGTTCGTGGGTTCGAGCCCCGCGTCGGGCTCTGTGCTGACAGCTCAGAGCCTGGAGCCTGTCTTCAGAGTCTGTATCTCCCTCCCTCTCTGACCCTCCCCTGCTCACACTGTCTCTCTCTCTCAAAAAATAAATAAAACATTAAAAACATAAAAAAATAAATAAAACGATTAGAATTTAAAGACAAAGAACACATTTCTTCGGGGCTTCCAGGCAAAGAGATGAAATAACTTAGACGACCAGAGAATTAAACTGGCATCGATTTCTCAAAAGCAAAGCAATAGTAATACAGTATTGTCAAGAAAGTTAAGGGAGAAAAGTACATACAAAGGAAATGCTATCCAGCCAAGATACTCCTCAAGTATCAAGGCCATTAGAAGAACAGCTGAGTATGCCAAAGCACTTGTGCCCTTCCTAAGGAATTTCATAGAGCTGTGCTGTCCAATTTGGTGGCCCCATGTGGCTAGCTACAGTTCTGGACAACAAAGGTACAGAACGTACTCATCACCGCAAGGAATTCTATTGACCAGCATGACACCAAATGGTGAGCTTCATCCGACCAAAACTGGTGAGTGGGGAAATTGTGGCAAAAGCCTAACACTGAGCATTTTTATACACTACCGTAAAGCTAAGACTAACACAAGGCTGGGGTCACAGGTTGAAGGATAACGTATAAACATTACTTTGTCCTGACAAAGTAGAAAAACAACTAAAAAATGAAAGGAGAAGAGAAAGGAAAAGAGGAAAGATGAATAAGATCACTGACTGCTATATAAGTAAAAGTGAGAGACAAATTAGATGATATAAAAGATTAATAAAGAAAAAAAGTAGGGGCACCCGGCTGGCTCAGTCAATGGAGTAAGCAACTCTTGATCTTGGGGCTGGAAGTTCAGGCCGCACATTGGATGTAGAGATTCCTTTAAAATAAAAATTTTTTTGAAAACAAAGTAAATTGATATAGGCATTACAGGAAACAGTATGGAGGCTGCTCAAAAAATTAAAACTAGAATTACCATATGATCCAGCAGTCCCATTTCTGGGTGCATACCCAGAAATCACTATCCCAAAGAGATATCTGTACTCCCATGGTCATTGCAGAATTATTCAAGATATGGAAAACAACCTAAGCGTCCATCAATGGCTGAATGGATAAAGATGTGATATATATATAAAACTCAACATCATTCAGTCATGAGAAAGAAGGAAATCTTACTATTTGCAACAACACGTATGAAACTGGAGGGCATTATGCTAAGTGAAATGAATCAGACAGAGAAAGGCAAATATTGTACTGTATGATCTCATTGATATGTGAAATCTTTTTTTTAAAAGTCAAACCCATAGAAGCAGAGTAGAACGTTAACAAGAGTATGGGAAAAATGAGGCGATGTTGGTCAAAGAGTACAAAGTCAGCTATGTAGAATGAATAAAGTCTAGAGATCTACAGGGCACCTGGCTGGGTCAGTCGGTGGAGTGTGCAACTCTTGATCTCAGGGTTGTGAGTTTGAGCACCAGGTTAGGTATGGAGATTACTTAAAAATAAAATCTTTATGGGGCACCTGGGTGGCTTAGTCGGTTAAGCGTCCGACTTTCGCTTAGGTCATGATCTCGCGGTTCGTGGGTTCGAGCCCCGCGTCGGGCTCTGTGCTGACTGCCAGCTCAGAGCCTGGAGCCTGTTTCAGATTCTGTGACTCCCTCTCTCTATGACCCTCCCCTGCTCACGCTGTCTCTCTCCCTCTCCTAGAAATAAATAAAACATTAAAATAAATAAATAAATAAATAAAATAAAATCTTTAAAAAGTCTGGAAAAAGAAAAGGGGGTGCCTGGGTGGCTCAGTCAGTTAAGCATCTGACTTCAGCTCAGGTCATGATCTCACCGTTCATGGGTTCGAGCCCCGTGTCGGGCTCTATGCTGACAGCTCAGAGCCTGGAGCCTGCTTCAGATTCTGTGTCTCCTTCACTCTGTGCCCCTCCCCCGCTGGCTCTCTGTCTCTGTCTCTCTCAAAATAAATAAACATTAAAAATTTTTTTTTAAAAATCTGGAGATCTAATGTACAGGCATGATGACTATACTTAATACTATATTGAACAATGGAAATATGCTAAGAAAGTAAATTACAGGTATACTCCTCACACACAGAAAATGGTAACTATGAGATGATATTAAAAAATACAACTATTATAAACACCAATCACAACCAGTAAAGATTTAAGAGTTAGAAACTGACAAACTCATTCTAAAATTCATATATAAAAAAAGGGGGAGTATGACTGGGTGGTTCAGTCAGTTGAGCATCCAACTCTTGATTTCAGCTCAGGTCATGATTCCTGAGTTGTGGGATCAAGCCTGCTGTTGGGCTCTGTGCTGAGCACGGAGCCTGCTTGAGATGCTCTCTCTTTCCCCTGCATCCTCTCTTCCCCACTCGCATTCTCTCTCTCTCTCTCCCAAATTAAAAAAATAAAATAAAGGAGGGATTTGGACTTGATGCAGGACCCAGGTATAACAACACCACATTGATGATACCATGATAATATCAGAATCTGAAAATCAAGCTAAGACTGACTGAAATGCAATAGTGACACATGAGGAGCAGAGGAGAGTTGACA